GTGTGTGTATGAGAGTGGGGGGCGAATGTAAGAAGCAAATGAAAGCTATAGAGAGAGGGTGTAACGGAAGAAAGAAGAACAGGAAAGGCCTAAAGGTGAAGGCGGGGATTAAAATTGAACAGAGAGAAGTTTTAAAGAGAGGACTTAAATGACGGTTTAAATGAGTGAGATACAGATAAATATGAATTATTTTCAGATGCATAATTCATTACTGAATCGCTGACCAAAATTAAATTAAAAAGCGACACCGGAAACGGGTGTAAACATTTGTGGTGACACTACGCACAATAAAAGACGATGTAATCTAAACTTAAAATTAAGAGAGAGAGAGAGAGAGAGAGAGAGGTGAAAAGAAAAACGAGGGATGTTGGGGTGGTCAACTAAAACCGAAAGGCATTTATAAAAGAGCCTCTGTTCAATCAAGAAAATTTGACAAAAGTAATATCACCTCCAGGTTACAATTGTAATATAAACATATTAAAATTAACGAATATTTAATCTAGCAAGGATCTACTATTTCTATCCCATATATATATATATATATATATATATATATATATATATATATATAGAGAGAGAAGAGAGATAGATAGATAGATAGATAGATAGATAGATAGATAGATAGATAGATAGATAGACAGAGAAGAATTAAACAATTCAAATACGGATATAAATTTACAGTAATTTTAAACTTAAAATATATATATATATATATATATATATATATATATATATATATTCTCTTTTTGATTTTGCTTTCTTAGCGACACCGTCTCCGTCCTGAGCTAATAATTTCATTTTTTTATTCACGTATGAAAGTTTCCGTTGTTTACATCTTTTACGTAATAGAGACATTTACAATGTTTTAATGAAGAAAATTCCAACCATTAACGTTTAGCAAGCTGAAAACCCATTAACTTCACTGCTAAGTGTTACTGGAAGAATTAAAAACAGTAACTTTAGTAATGAAGAACAATCAGGTGGGCAGTAGATAGCGATTAACTTTGTAATCAAATTTTTGAAGATTAAAGTTGCCCAGACTTAACAACTTGTAATTAGGGTGAATGAACCGTGAACATATAGGAGGAATGTTTTTTTCCTATCATTTAACGACTTTCATATCGACCAAGGTAAAATATACGACTGTCTGAATTCATTTTTACGTTCGAATTGATAATATCGAGGCACAACAGATGAGGATTTCCAACAGACTGGAAAGCAAGAGTCTGTGAGGCAATAGTGATATAATTTGGAGACGACCGGTGCCAGTTCAGGAGCACAAGTGAAAAAACTACATAGTTTACCATTACTTATATAGTTAGCGTTAGGAATATTTTGAAGCGTTCTTATATCAAAAACCTTTTTTTAATAACTTATATATTTAGATCCATTTATGAATAAATATCGCAAAATAAAATATCATTTACCTTGATAAATTCATTCAGTGGCCGAAACACGAAATGCGCTGGTAAAGAAGTTTTCCTTTTGTCATTATTCGTACGAGATTTTTACAGATAATTTTTTATTTTTAACTGAAAATTTACACACACACACACACACACACACACACACACACACACACACACACACACACACACACACACACACGCACACACACACACATTGAGCATTCTAAATCACTGGCGTGTTTATTCTCAAATAAATTCGTAAGACTTCACAGACGCACATGATTCCAATTTGAGTTCGTGTATTTTTACTCCTATATTTCCAAGATTCTTTTTTTTCCTTAACTTCGATATTTGCCTAGGAATATTCTAAATATAAAATTACAGATTTTTACAGATATGTTCTTAAAGACAGGGACAACAGAGGAGGACTTCCAACAGGCTGGAAAGCAAGAGTCAGTAAGGCAATAGTTATATAGTTTGGAGAGGACTGGTACCAGTGCAGGAGCACATTTCTTCAGGACCACGGCTAGTATCCCGTCCTCACCACTATCCTTATGGGTATCTAATTTGGAGACAATGTCCAATACCTTCGATGGGGTTATGTTTATGTCACTCAAAAAGGCCTCAGTTCTAGGGAGGAAATCAAGTGTGGGTATTCCGGATGAGTCAAGCGTTAAATTCGATGAGAATTTCCGAGCTTTGGTTTTTTTGTTACCATTTTCTTTAAGACTTGCTTCTTTCTCATTCGTTCCTTCCATGGAACTCTCAGAATCCTTCTTCAGAACCACATTTCTGCTGCCGACAATTTTTCTCTTGTCCTGTGTGAAGAGTGCCCAGATTTCGCTACCCAAAAATAAAAGAGGATTGATATCATATTAACAAATCAGAATACTTTCCTCTTTCTTACCAGGAATGCTTTAACAGCACGAAATTGTAAACGACGTAAATATACAAATCATTAAGGTACTATACTCGCAACACACGCAGGCGGCGGCGCGAGTGCGCGCGCGCACGCACACGACACACACACACTCATATATATATATATATATATATATATATATATATATATATATATATATATATATATCCTTTCCACTGATACTTGAAAGTCTAAGCAATTGTCACTATTGCATTAACATAGTGATGATCACATCTCATCGTTGTCTGGGTCTGCTGGTTCAGTTCAGTCATCAATGCACTCGGATATTCGAATTAAACATTTGAGCCCTGACCAACTCTTTACCGGTATCTATCTATCTATCTATCTATCTATCTATCTATGTTTGTTCCAATCTATCTATCTATATCAACTTTGTCATTACCTATGTAAATTTTGTCATTATCTACGTATTTCGTGTTTGTCATTATGTACCTGTTTTAACTTTGTCATTATACTTTCTATCTATCTATCTATCTATCTATCTATCTATCTAAATTTTGTCATTATCTATGTATTCTTCTTTGCCATTATGTATCTGTTTTATCTTTGTCATTATACTATCTATCTATCTATCTATCTATCTATCTATCTATCTATCTATCTGTGTGGTAATATTATGACTAATACTAACAGAACAATCTTGTTACTTGTTACTATGAATATATCTGTAAATTAATGTTTAAAGCAAATTGGCCTAAATCATGGCTTGAATTAAACTGACAGTTGCGTTTCTTTTTCAACTTTTTATATTTTTGATTTTTTTTATATTGAAAAATGTGTCTTCTGTTTACTTCGAGTGGCATTAGTCAGTCTCACCTTAGCTAGGCTTACCCTATATTATTACATGCGTTTATTTATGCATAACATTTTATCACTGTTATTTCACACGGTTGCACAGACATGAACGCACAAACTTTGGCATATTCTATTATCCTCCACCCCGCCTGGGTTGAAACGTCGTATGGACACAAAAGACACCGATGTTGTATGTTTAAACTGACATCTTTGTTTCTTTTCAGTTTATATCTAAAATATATTTTCACTGCAAAATTTGGAAAAAATGTTCAAATTTTCATTTAAAATCACGAAAATATGAACTCTAAGCCAAAAGGTCACAATATATGTTTAAAAAAAAAGATGTAATTTAAAATGAGATTAGACGGATATAGTTTTACACAGGTATATTTTCTTCTATACAGAATATAGGATATGACGTATCTCCAGAACTTCCTATCCTTTGTAGCACTTAGTAAGGTTTGACTTTTTGCTATATCTTCTAATTATTGTTCTGCCAACGACTTACAAAAGATAAGTTATGATACAAGTCAATAAGATTGCTTAGCTGTAAAAAAACAAAACGGATTTTGAAACACTGAGCAAATCGATCTCACTTCTCAGTCGTAACTCTTCTAGAAAATGTAGCTAACCATTACACCAAGTCGGGATGCCCATCACAATTTCGTTATGTAGGCTAAAAGCGACTTTCCTCTATCTCATTATGCCTTCAGGATATCCTCTGAGTCTCAAATTCTCCAAGCCCTCTTTATGCTAGTCGATAAGTTATTGAGAAAAATAACAACACCTGTAAAATGTTCTGTAACATATTTCTTCTTTCATGACCTGAGAAAAAAAAAATGAACAAAGAGGTGACACTTCATTAATCTTCTTCTTTAAGTGCCGTGTTTCGACGGAGGCGATTATGGCTCTCCACAAATCCAGTTAGTTGAAAGTAAAAGCAGAGCCATTGAGTGTGAGTAGAGTTTACCAATGTGGGTCGTGATCGGTGGGTGAGGAGTGAGAGACAATCGATTACAAATATTGATTTTTTTTCAAGTTAGCTAAGTATTCTCCTTGAGGATTGGTTCAACGCATTAGACTAAACTAATCACACGGAGGTTGGGATATTCTTTGTATATATATATATATATATATATATATATATATAACAGTTTAAAATAAAATCTGTAAAAAATAATATAATAATGTACGAAATAAATATATGTTATAATAAGATCGAATAATAAAATAAAAACAATAAAATACAGACGGAACAGTAAGTTCTTTGCTAAAAGTATCTTTTATCACACTTCCTGCTTGTAAAACTCTCTTCCGGCTGCTTCGAGGTTGATGGGTACTTGGGTAACCGCTTGGGAATACCAGGTGCTTGAAGCTTGGATGTGCCGGTGTCTTAACGGTTAATGAGTTGGAAATTTTAATCTCTGATTATCTATCTATCTATCTATCTATCTATCTATATATATATATATATATATATATATATATATATATATATATAAATGTATAAAACAAATTAAAATAAAATCTTTAAAATAATAATATCAAATAAATTTAATTTATTACAATATCAAATAAGAATAAAATGAAATAGAATAAAAACAATAAAAACACAAATGTAACCGTAAGTTCTATGTTGACAGTTTCTTCTATTACAGTCTCTGTTTATGGAACTTTCTGCCGGCTGCTTTGTGTATGGTCTTACTTAGCATCTTCAAGCGAATTTTTTTTTTTTAATTTTTTGATTCCAAAACAAATTTCGCTTGAAGATGGAACAGAGCTTACTTTAATTCAATTTAATTCAAATAATTATATCGAAGTTTTCGGCTCTTGCTTTGAAACATGAGAACTCT